AGTACAATATTACAAGTATATAAGTACAACAATAATATTACAAGTATATAAGTACAATATTACAAGTATATAAGTACAATATTACAAGTATATAAATACAATATTACAAGTATATAAGTACAACAATAATATTACAAGTATATAAGTACAATATTACAAGTATACAAGTACAACAATAATATTACAAGTATATAAGTACAATATTACAAGTATATAAGTACAACAATAATATTACAAGTATATAAGTACAATATTACAAGCGTATAAGACAGTTAAACTAAAAAAACAAGTAAATAAGTATAATAAAATAGAATGAGAAAAGCTTACCTGTAAGCTCGTCTACCGTCTTTCCACCAGACTGTATGGCAGCAATAGCTTTATCTTTCTGAGCTAGTGGTAGAGTTCCTTGCTTTATCATATTTATGGCGTTTTTTCTTGCAATTTCCAGTAACTTTTTCTTATCAATTTCAATTCGTTCTCTGTAATAAAAATATTAAACAAATTATAGAAAAATATAAAAAAAATGATTAAATGTGGAAATAAAGTCTCAAATGATATTGCTAACTAACTTTCTTTCTCTACTCCTGCTTCGACCTTCTGTATACTTGGTTCTGCTCCTACTGTGACTTCTGTGTCTGCGTCTTTCATTACTTCTGTCCCTGTCACGTCTTTCTCTGCTTCTGCCATCTTGTCTTTCTCTTCCATTACTTCTGCTGCGATGCAAACTATGTCGTGTTTTTGATCTTGATCTTCTTCTGTCTTGTGAATGATAACTCGTACTTCTTTTACCATCTTTATCTTTTGTAGATCTATAATATTTGAAAAATCATTTCTAATTATCAATCCTCTAATTATCACTTGTACAAATCTCATTATTTTTATCTTTATTTTCAATAAATACTAACCTTCTTTTTTTATCTTTTTCTCTCAAAACCAATCGGAGATCTGTTTTTAATTCTCTCAATTGATCTTCCGCGGATCCTATGCTTTTTGTTCTGTCTCTACTTGGACTAAACGACAGTGATCTATTTCGAAATGGAGTAAGATTCAAATTATGTTCTCCGTTATCCTCGCTGCTGCTATCAGATATTTCACCTTCTTCCACTCCTTCAGCTTTTGCCTTTTGTTTGTCTTCAATTGCTTTAACCGTTTCACTATAAACGACACTGTTTTTGAGATCTTTTATCAATATTTTTCCTTGAGCAGATTGCTTTGCCTTTTCTATTTATAAAAAAATTATGCATGTGTTAAAGATATGTAAATATTTGTTCTTCTTTTTATAATTGTAACAACAAATTCTTAGATCTGTCACACTTATATCATTTTCAGGAACAATTTACAAATTATTACTAGTGGTATAAATTATTAACATATTAGCATACCAACCAATTGGTCTGGATATTATTGGCTCGTCAACTTCCTCATCTGTTTTCTTTAACATTGGCGGTAAACAAGGACTGTCGGAACCATCAGCAGTCTCTTTTGTTACATCTGGTTCTGTTTTTATGTGTTGCTGATCATTCAGTTTTGATATATTGTCTCCGGTCAGTATGTCATCTATACTTGTCTTTTCTGCAATATCAAATATTTCCGCATTATTATGTTTTGCAATCTCTAGGTCATCATTCTCCAGTTTTGTCGCTTTGGCTTTAGGCTCCGATTCAGACGATCTGCTCGAAACAGATCCGTGCCTACGTTTGGACTTCTTCTTGTGTTCTTTCTTCTTCTTCTTTCTAACACCTGGAAGATAGATACAAAAAACATAAAAAACATTTTATTATGTTTAGCAACATAAAGCTAAATACACAACACCAACCCTCGGTGTCGCTGTTACTATCTGAGGAATTATTCCTTGACTTTTTCTTTTTGCTTTTCTTCTCTTTGTGTTTGTGTTTTTTTTTCTTTTTCTTCTTTTGCATCTTCGACTTGACGTTTTCGGCATTGCCGTTTGGAACTTGCTGATCTCTACTGTCCGACGATCCTACATCGTCATCAACCGCGTTAAACGTGCTGAAGAGTTCCGTCAAAATTTCATTGGACGACTTCTCGGGCAATCCGGGCTCCGATTTGACTTTAACACCATCGACGCCGACGGTTGTGATTAAGTTTGCGATATCAAACAAATCTGCCATCACGAAGTCGCGAGTTCGTACATATTATTTATTTTATACAGATATAAAGAATATAAAGTCCCGCAATTGGTAGCTCAAGATTATACTTCACACATGTACACAAGTTCATCATACTCATAGGCCGCGGTTACATATATAATAAATAATTACAACTCGAAATCGATCTTAACCTATCCTACTGTGTATATTAGTACATACCATCGCATACAAATACATATATATATATACATGTACGGCGGCATTAAAAATTCGCGGAAGCAAGCACGGGGATGTCGGAAGGCAAAAGCAAGGGTTGCTCGTGGCGTCAACGAGCGCCGTACAAACTAACTTCAGTGTAGCAAGGTTACGTTTCAAAATCCTACCTTGATAACCAAAAACTATAGTACACGTGACATAAAATATAGCATTTTAGTAACCAAGGTAGGATTTTGGAACGTAACCAATCAGTGTTGTCGCAAAGTCGCGTTTTCGCGTATGCGCACTGCACCGCCAATCAGTTTCTTCTAAGATCCGTGTTTTTACGCATGCGCTCTTAAATAGTAGTATCACTGCCGTATCTACTTTCGACATCATTCAAGGTTCTGTTGGGACCGAAATAATTTTTCATAATTAACGTGTTTTCTAATGATATTTATTTTGTTTTTTAATAACATTTAAATAAAACAATATTAACCTTTTTAGTGCCGGAGGCCGATATATCGGCCCTCGCTGCACTGGCGAAAAGTGCCAGAGCCGATATATCGGCCCTCACCTTATACCTTTGTTATTTATGTAATTTTCAATGAATATAGAAAAATTAGCGTCATTGTTTTATTCTCTATTTTGTCCTTAATACACTGCTTTTTGAATTATTTATATTGCTTTTTGTTTGGTTTTTATGAGCCTTTTTCCAAATCCTAGTAAAATCGTAAAATTCGGCCGGTTATCTTCGCATAAGCACCTTTTTTTTCGCCCGGCACTAAAAGGGTTAAGAAAATAAGATTTAAAAAAAAGATAGAAATAAATAAACATAGAAATAACATTTAATGTAATATTTTATGTGGCAGAAATCCCACAAATGCCAACATTTGTTGCGGGGGTAAGGAAAACTGCCAAAAACCTTATCAGTATTCAAAAAAAAACAAACATACATTCTTTTATTTTAACAAAATTAAGTAATATAATAATATATAACAGTCAGTAGCGCAGTGTGCTACTGAAGAAGTCAGTATTTCCGATGTCAGAATTGAATTCTAAGAAGCCAGAATTCATATTTCTATCTTTTTTTTAAATCTTATTTTCTAAATATTGTTTTATTTAAATGTTATTAAAAAAAAACAAAATAAATATCATTAGAAAACACGTTAATTATGAAAAATTATTTCGGTCCCAACAGAACCTTAATAATGTCGAAAGTAATACGGCAGTGAGACTACTATTTAAGAGCGCATGCGTAAAAACACGGCTCTTAGAAGAAACTGATTGGCGGTGCAGTGCGCGTGCGTGAAAACCCGACTTTGCGACAACACTGGCCGCAGCGTGCTGTTGTATGTGAAAAGGTACCTTTAGTGATCTAGCAATATGGCCGTCACCACTCCGACGCTTCGGTTGTCATTGGTTACCAGGCAATCTCTTTATTCCAAAGACCTTGTTACTTTAGGAATCTCCCTAATTGGAGATTCGACTCTGAGACTGCGCATGCGACACATCGTGCTTCCTGCATCCCGTCCTTCACAGCCTTTTAGTTGCGCTTTTGCAAGTATTTTCCTTTCTTACTGCTTTTACACGCACTTATTACAAGTAAGTACGTACTTCTGTCTAATACTACCCGCTTTCCTAAACTTAGNGGGTACTTTGTTACTCCAGTTGGAGAAATCAACCATTCAACCGTTTACGGTGAACATACCAAGAAAATCACTATTCAAGCTTAGAATGGCGTATGGACTATCTTGAGTCGGTCCTTTGAGCCACATATGCACCAAACCAAACCATCTCCCTAATTGTTCATATTGGTGATTCACATGATTATTATTATTTAGTCCATAACCTACCTACACTACCAAGTGTATAAATACGTGATGTAAGTTCGTGGCTCTCGTTTTGAGAAACATTATCAAGAATTTATATATCTTATTTGTAGTGATATACGTGCTTGCATATATATCTCTGTGCATATACCGCATTGACATGACACACAGACTGTGAATTATGTCAAGTGCGTGTCAGCCGGCCAGATGTTTTTTTTTCTTCTGTGTGTTACATACGTATAAACAACACCCGCGATACAATACACCGCGAGTAGGTTCCAAAAACTACCACCTTGGCAATTAAAAAAACTAATAGCACACGTGATGTGAAATATAGTATTTTGGTAACCAAGGTAGGAGTTTTTTTTTTTGAACGTTTACCTCGCGTAATAACGTGTTCGGCTGAATAACCTAGGTATCGTATTCTGTATCACGCAATGTGGTGAAAATTTCCAAAAGTGAGCAAATTTACCAGTTGTTGACAATAATATCACAGTGAGATCATAGATGTAGATGTAAATTCGCTCGCACTTTTGTCATTTCCACTACGCTGCGTGATACAGAATCGCGATCCCTTCATCTAACCCTAGTCTAATTTAAACCCTAAACCCTAAACTCTGATTTCGTTCAGATTTGCACACATTTCACATTACATATGTGAATGTGTGTCGTTTATATTAATTTTAGAGTCCAGATCGATGTTACATACCAGCAGGAAATGTGCGTTTTGTAACAAAATAGTAGTTACATCAGCACACACTATTTTGCTCTGTTGATCAGTTCACCGTTTCGTTTCAACATCAGGATAACATTTGTAAGTTCTAACAGATCGTAATGTGTTTTGACAGATAATATGGGACAGTTTCACGATACAATTATGGGCACGGCTCCTCGTGTGATATTCGACGAGAACAGTGACAACGGATTGGTGATTTGCGAAAAATACATACCGTCTGAATTATTGGCAGAGATTCTGTGTCACGCCAATCTCAATACCGTGCTTAATTGTCAATTGGTGTGCAAGCGTTGGAAAATGTTGATACAGAGTTACGTGTGGCGTAAAAAAGCAGAATTAACATTGGGCAAGTCGTTTCCGCGATATAAGAAGATACCTTGGGAAGTGTTTTATTTAATATGCAAGAAGAAACCGTTTGAGAAAAACTTGGTGAAGAATCATTCCGGTGCGAACAAGAAAAAATATTGGCGGATTGTTAGGGAAGGTGGAGATTCTTGGAATGTTGAAGAACCGCCTGTTGGCGTGCCGGAGTTACCATTGACCGAACCAGTGTTTGAAGGAAAACAAGTTTGCTTTGTGACATCTTTTCAATCCTGTCTTAAAATGCAGCTTATAGATCTTGTAGCCGAGGGATTTCATCCTTACGTTCTGGATGTTATACAGCCGTCTATAATGGTAATCTATAATATATTGTTAATTGTAAGACACAACTTTATAAAACTTATATATTATTTTATATATTAATATATATATATATATATAAATAATTAAATATATAATAGTGATATTTTGTATAACGATATATATTACAGGTAAGCGAATGGTATAGCTGCAGATGGGATTGTCCTGCACAATATGAATGTGAAGTTATGTTATGGAAAGAAACTAACAATGATTATGATTTTGTATATTACGACAATAGCGCATTGTTAGATAAGTTTGTATTTCACGATAGTATAGAAGGAGAAAGACAGAATAAATGGATACACGTAAGTATCTCTCTGAAAATAAAATTTAAGTTACAGAAAATTAAAAAATATTTGAATACAGTGTATAAAAAATACTGATCTCTTTAAGTTTTTCTATTTTTTTTATTTTGTATATATTTAGGTTTCACATGTATTTGAAAATTACGGACAAGGCCTCAGAAAAATTTCCTTTTTACATGGCGGGCAAGATAAATCATTTTGGGCGGGACATTATGGTAGTAAAATGGCTGGAGCATGCGTGTACGTAAACATTCCATCTGCCGTTCAACATATTTCTGATGATGAATTTGATACACAATTTCTAGATGAATAAGTTTATTTAATATAACTAAAATTACATATATATATTTTGTGTTAAAATTTATATACTTATATTTATATTAAGTCAGTAACATAAATATTGTTAACATTGTTAATAAATAGAAATATATATCTATTTTAAATAAATTTGCCAGATTGTGTATTATATACTATATTAAATTGTGATATAGAAGTTACACACGCGCGCACACACTACGAGTGCAATTGAAAAGCTATTTCGATCAAATTTTGAGGCGCAGAGTCTTGATGGCACACATATAATTCCTTGGGATGGGGATTCGTATAGAGGCGTCCAATTACCCAGAAAGATGTATTTTCCCATTCAAACAATACACCATGCTCCTTAACAGCGATTAAACTTCTGTTGATAGTTTTGTCTATGTCTTGATTTAACATCTTTTTAAATCTTATTGTGTTATGTAACAATCTGTGGATAATATATACACATTTATTGAAATTCATAAGAATTTTGTTATCCTTCGGTGTATTTTGAATAGGTATCGACGACAGTAGAATACCCTCCACCGTGTCCAGATGAACATAGTGATATAAGTAATTTTTATTGCCCGCAGTTAATTTCTTCGCTATCAAGTATTCAGCTTGGTTCAACAAGCGCTCTCGTATATTAGATATATCCGTTGCGAGTACGTGACTGTCATTCTGTAAATGAATATAATATATATATCCTAGGAATTTGTTACTGTTTTTACTTGTCCAAATTATTGTATACATGACATTTGTTTAATAATAACAAGCTATTTTATTTTAACAAGAGGTTTTAGCAGAGTATGTAAAGAAAATTACCTTGTACACATCAATATCCGAATCACTGTCGTCCGAATATCTTGAAGCTGAACTGACTTTATCTCTAGTTGCTCTTCTTCCAAGTATAGGCATTGCTTCGTCGCTCACTTCACTCACACCGCCCGTTCCTTGGCTTAGCGAATCTTCGGACGTTTGTAGAGAATATACTGAGAATATCGATTTTATAAAAAATTTTATAAAATTAATTTTACCGCCTCTACATAGCGCAAATCTGTCATATGTCACTCACCGGAACCCGATATAATGTGATTTTCTTCAGAACTACGTTTTTTCAAAATAGAAGACGCTTCTTGTTTTTTATTCACATTAGAATTAATACTCTGCTTAGATGATACAACTGGCGAATCGGACGATTTTATTAATCCAAATAAATTTTCTGTTATACTGGACGAGGACTTTGTCGTCGTATGTTCCTCATACGATATTACTTCCGGTCTGATATTAGACAAAATCCACTTTGAGGCCAAAGTTGTGACTCCTATTTTTTGTATATGCTTCAGCGTTTCTTGCGCTTCTTCCACGTAAAATATATCCGGACCTATTGCGTCATTATATCTAAAATTTAAAAAAAAATTAAAATAATAAAACAAACAATTTAGAATGTTAAGATAATAAAACTTTAAAAGTACTTAATACAATAATACTTAAAAAAAGTGATACTTTAAAGTAAAGAAATATTATTTGATGTAATACAGTTGTACACCTACGTTGCGGTACATCCGCCAGTTTCTAATAGAACTGCCAATAAGTCATGTCCATATCCGACAATTAGTAAAAACCATTTTCCGTTGGGTATTGATAATTGACTATTATTACTATTACTAGTTTCATTGTTTCCACGATTACACGACGAAGGATAAACCTGCTTCCACAAAACAAGACACTTTACTTGCTCCTGATTTACCAAATTTAGAAGACCGTTGTGTCTCAAAAATGAATGTACATCAATCAAATCGTCGTGCGGCAAATGAGATCCCAGAAGATAACATTTGTGATAGATACAGCTTCCCAATATCGTATACAATCTCTGGCAATCCATAGGATCCTCATTCTATCAAAAATGCATAAGTCTGTAATATATATAACTTGTTTAATCAAATAACCATACAAACAGAAGTAAGGTCAATATCGAGTAAGAAACAGATTGATAATATATTTAATCAAAATTAATTATACATTAAAATTGGGAAACGTTTCGGACTACACGCGAGTCATCATCAGTCTCTCACGACATCAATATATAAAATAAAGAAAAATCTAAAATTACATCTTGGTAGAAAGTGATTGCGGAGTGTAATAGAATTCCATACGACGCGAATTTAATTTCAATAAATACAATATAAATATATTTTACATATACCGCCAGGTTGTTCGTAGTAAAAGATTATAAGTGAGTCGACTCATGAGTATGTTGTTGAGAGTCGACTGCTACGAGATCTTTCTGCTCGATATTGACAGACCTTATACTTCTGTTTGTTGTTCGAAAAACGAGCGCAATCGATTCTATTAAAATAACTAATATATTCTGAATAGTTTTAAAAACAATTTAACGATTATATTGATATACCCAATCTCTGTAATCCATAGCTTCCATTTCGCTCAATGCGGCATCAATTTGAATTTGCGCGTCTCTCGGTAGCTGAATAAAATTTGCAACTGAAAAAGCACTTCTGAATTTATAATTTTCTACATTTTCCATATCATTTTGCGGTTTTACGAGATTCTGCCTGGCATCATCATTATCTTTGCAGAAATCTTTGACGTTTATTAATCTGTGCATAATTAAAGTGAAAAAATGATCTAAGAAGATCCGATTCTCCGATGTAAAACATTTTGTCAGCGACTGAAAAATAAATTCCAATGTCCTGACAATATCTTCTGTGATTTTGACGGCTTCCTGAGAATTGCAGCTAAGAAAATAATTGACAAAAAATTAGAACAATTGTTATTATTTTTAGTGTGCTGTATTCTAAATTTAAATAAACCTCACCATTTGTTAGGTAAAGCTATTAAGAGCAATTCGTCATCGTGAAATGTATATATGATATGAGCTTCTTCTTCACCTGTTCGAACGGTTGTACTAAAAAAAATTATATATATATAAATATAATTATACTAAAAA